CATCCAAGCTTCTCTGATCCGTCTGGATTCTTGGCTCTGAGGAAAGCCAACCATGCAGCGTTCCAAATCGCTCTTCCGCCGATCGCGTCGGCGTTCGGCTTTATATCCCTCTCAAGTTTCTCAACAGGAAACGATTCAGGTTGGTTCATGTTGGCATCCTGATCTTCGAGAGGCGGCAGTTCGGGTTGGTCAACAAGTTCAACTCTCCCTTCACTCCTGATTATCTTGTCCTTCTGCGTGGGAAATTCAATTGACTTGGGCACACTGATCTGGCTGACTCTGAGGATCGGAACTTTCTCATCATGACTTGCCTTGAGGACATTCGGCAATGACGTGACGGAATACTCGTCCCTAAATAGACAGCCCGGGTGCATGATGTAGCCAATGAAGATACCCGGTGCAGAAGTAGGATCAAACCTCAAGTTATCTTTCACTCTCTTTCTCGGCCCTGTCCAGTAGTCGATCTTACAACCAAAAGGGACAATAGGACCTTTGAACCTCCCCCCAAAACGAAGCTCCCACGGCGACTTGTCCTCATCATCGAATTGAGCAATATTGTTGCTGATGCACCAATGTCTAGCAGCGTGAGGCCAGTACTGGTGATGTAGTCCTGACTGTAATAGACTCACCCTGGTACCTTCAACAATGGATCGAATGGTGCGTTCGGCAACGGCGTTGCTCTGGGATATATAATCCTTCGATGTGACATGGCGCCACTGCAACGTGCGCGCGGCACTGATGAGTTCTGAGGCGTTGTCGGAGTAAAAGATCTTGACTATTGCTTCGTCAAGGACAAAGTGTTTGAAGGAGTTGATGGTAGACTCCGCATCTTTTCGTGCAGATGGGTAAACATAAGTGAACCCTGAAAATACATCTTTCAGCGCAAGACCAATACCTTCATCCTCATCCCCAGCTTCTTCACCTTTGGCGGTGATGAGGAAATCCCCTGTAACATGATCACCAAAAGACTCAGCCTTGATTTGTCTGGATCCGCCCCTGGCTCTTGAGGGGTATTTGATCATCTTTGCCTTACGACAAACATCACAAAACTCTTTCTTGGGTATGCGAGTCATCAAGTGGGCAATAGATTGGGCTTCCCTCTTGAGCAAGGCTTCCCCCCATCCACGCTCTGCCACCAAGGGTTCTGGTACCTGATCGTCCAGGGCATCATCACTAGGGTTAGAATCATCCGTTGGCTCGACCTTCCGGTCAGCGACGCTGGGCGGCTCAGCCTTCCGGCTGGCTTCTTCTTCTCTTCCCCTACTCCCATCATCATCACCCCCCGCATCATCTGAGCCCGTTGCGACTTCAGCAGGTAGGGCCAGCGGAGTGGTAGGAGTGAAGGATGTAGAAGATGAACTGTTCGGTGAAGAAGAAGCTTCCGGCTTTCCATTTGAAGTCGTAGCCTTCATCCATGCACTTAATACCGACGGACATCACAGGTGGGGTGGATTCGAGCAAGTATGGTGTGAAATTACAACCAAGCGTTTCGTTTCTCACCTTTCCCTGTCGGTACGACGAACTCTCTCCATTCGCAGTGATAATGGAGATCGTCTGATCAGAGAAAAACTGATACCGGTCCGGAATGCCATATTTGGTTGCTAGGTCCTGAGCGCTACCAGTGTCTGCAATCCAGTCTTCACTTGAAAGGTTGCTCAACCTGCTGCTCAGAAGCGGCTGGTGTCGCAAACAATGTCTTGGGCATGCAGTGGTCGCACCGATAGTGGACTTACGCATGAAACGACACTTTGCTTTGAACCCTTGCAACTCATTTTGCACTGCTCTGGCAAGCATCTTGGCCGAAAAAATCGAATCTTCGATGGCCGATGGGTTTGGACTCATAGCGAATTCGATGGGATAGAATTTCGACGGACTCTTCCTTTGCACTTCATATGGATAGAGGTCACCGGATGTGTGATACTCGGTGATGTTCGGCTTAGACTCGAATTTCATTTTGATCTTGGCTGGACATGGCAATGCGCAGCCAACCGTTCCCGGTGGCAAGCCCTTCAACAGACGATGCAAGCATGGATGCAACAAGACAAACTGCGGCAGGCGTGACTCTGGGTGACGATCGATTTGACCCCCTGGAACCCTTGGATCCCTTTGACTTCCGAGAACCATCGGAACCGGATCGGCGTCCGCTTTTGTCCCGCTTGCCCCTCTTGTCCTTCTTCCGCTTGTCCTTCTTGCCGCTTCCGCGAGAACTGCGGGATCCTGATCTTGCAGGAGTGGCCTTGCGGGGCTTCTGCTTGCCTGCGTGGGAAAGCTCACATTCATTTCCCCGTTTGCAGCGTCCAGCTTTCGAGTACTTGCGTGTGATCTTGGACTTGTCTTTACCCTCTCGACTGGTGGAACGACCTCGACTTGGTTTTCGAGATTTCTTCGGAGGAGTCTCATGCTTGTATGCGCAGTTTTCCTTGGTACCCCTTTGGGATGAACGGAGTCTTCTTCCGATCGTCGTCGACTGCAGGAGTGGACGGCCTCGGACCTCCAAGGCTGCTGTGGATCCGATCACGGTTCGACTCAAGCCTTTCCCTCCGGAGGTGCCTTTGTACGGCATCAACAAGGTACTTGTAGGAATGATTCTCAGTTCCCTTTTCAGCACGATTATAGATTTCGACGTCATGTTGAATAGCGCGTACGTTCTTGATTTGTTCGTAGAACAGGGTTTCCAAAACTGAAGGATCCGGCGGATGTGTGATTCCGGCATTCACGGTATCCCAGTTCGAAATGAATGTTCTCAGGTTTTCACCCTTGAGCTTCACAGCGAACAAATCTTTCAATGAGTACGTGGCTCCATGTCTGATATTCGTGCTAAAGGAATCATCCATCATCAACAAAACTTGTCTTCCTCTGACAGGGCGGTCGGCAGCTGATTCTTTCTCTTTGAAGGTATTCACCTTTCTAGCAAATTCACCTGAGCAGATGTTCGGCAGTGCTGACAAAAGCTTCGCATCAAGAGTGGTGAAGCCCTCCGGATCAACCAAATCTGCAGTGACCGTTCCTTCCTTCCACACCTTATTGATCCACACGAAAGCCTTGTCTGGGGTGTTCGATGCAGCACGAACGGCATCTCGAACCTTAATCTTCCAGTCTCTATAGCTTTCTGGGTATGGAAAGGGCGGAACCTTGATGTGATCTGCTTCTTTGGCATTGTTCTCAGAGTTCTTCTTCCCCCCTTTGAGGAGCTGCTTGAGGGCTTTCAATAAATCACGACCCGAAAAATCATTCTCATCACCATCGTCATCATCATCCCCATCCCCGTCATCGTCGTCCCCAGGATCATCAGGCGGGCCGCCTCCACCAACATTCGCTTTCTTCGGACCCGGCCGAAGGTTCCCCTTGGCTTCATCTCGGTCTGATCACTGGTACCCAGTGGCAGTGGTGGGATTATGCCTTCGCCTGACCTCATGGAGTTCATTGGAGGGCCGAAAAGGGATTCCTCAGTAGGTTCTTGCTTCGAAACAGGACTACCCTTTGGCTCTTGCTTGACGGTTTGCCTAAGCATAGCTGGATTGGGAATTGACGGGGAGTAGTCTCGGGTTTGTAACTCATCGATACCCCCTGCAGGAACCCCGTGGACCCAGAACGGCTGTACCTTCCGGTGCGCGAACGGCGGACCAAGAACTGAACAGATCATTCTGTTGCCTGGCGTCTCGAAGAGCGCTCAGCTGGTTTTGAAGATCAGTCTGTTTCTTCATGGATTGTCTCAACTCCAAATGAAGACTTTCAGTTTGCCGATTCTGATGCTCAACATGGTTGTTCAATGATTCAATGGTTGCCATGCACTTCTCGATTGCATGATCGCTACGAATGCGTGCATCTAACATCTGGCTCTCATGGTGTTGTTTCATGGACCTAAGCTCGGCAGCGGAAGCTTCGGCATATGCCTCGTATCCCCTTTGGGCAGCTTCAACAAAAGCAGTGGCTTCCTGTTTCACAACCGTGTTCTCATGAAACATTTGTTCAGCTTCGTTCATAAACCTTAACCCCTGTACTCGCATCTCGTCACGCTGGGCACTCACGATATGGAGTTGTTCACCCTGGATATCCATGGCATGCCGATGTCTTTCTTCGGCGACAGCCTCATCAATCTTGTATCAGTAGATTGGGCTTGGTGAACATGCAAGTGCTGGTTCAACACATTTGTATGACTCATGTTGACCGGCACAGCGTTCCCGCTGGCACTTGCTGTAGGAGGGTTGTACTGGGAAATGTCAGGCCCTAAGGGCGTGTCCAGATACCCATAACCGTCCGGAACAAGTGCAGTAGAACTTGCAACCTCGGGCGTTCCCTCGCGCGCGGACATATTGTCCGGATCCGACGATAAGATAAGTCGATTATCGCCGGGTATCCATAGCCAGCCATGGAGCGGCACGCGCGGAACAAGAGCGGGGACACAGTGAGACCTACGGCTAATAACCTATTTCAAATAGGAAACAGCCTAAAAGCTACACCTTTTTCTTGAGCCAAGGTCCACGCGATATAGTCGATGTATATGTACAACAGGTGTGAAAAATAATTATCACTTTCTGTTTTCGTCGTATTCGTGGTATGGCTTGCGTTGCGCATTGCTTTTCGTCCCAGCTTCCTCAGGACTTGCGCTTTACTATTCTTCAGCGTGCCATGTTTACTGTTCCTGGTGTGGACACAAATCAACACTACTGATGGGTTCAAGATGTTCAACTACCCGTTCGTGCCAATGACGAGCCACAAACTGAGTGCTCCATTGCTTGTTTCATTCTTTAGACTTGCCTGCGAATTGTATCATTTGTGATCTGTGCGTTGGACACAACATGGTGCAAAGGTGGCCTGATTAACTGGTTAGCGGCCTTCGTTGCCAATGATAGGCAGCTAAACTGACTGGACATGACTTGCCACAACACTCTTCCTGAAGACTGCTCCAAATGCAGTGTCACTTGGATTTGCAAATGCAACAGGACAAAGTACCTATTCTCAGATTCTCATGACTAGCAGCAACTAGCAGGGATACCGGCCTTCGTGTCATAAACGAGGCACGCAATATCCTCCAAGCGATCCACGAAAGCCCACAAGTCCTGCTGTGTGTGTGTGTGTTCCCATTTATGACACCAAGACTTCGGTAAACGAGTAGAAAACAAGGTAAACAGCCTCAATCGTGTACTTGGCTTGTGATCTCCCACCATCCATCTTTATGACCTCAACTTGACGACAGCCACATCATGCGCCAAACTCAACCCTGAAATCATTGCCTGCTCGTACATCTGACATATATCATCCATGGCTCGACTCCTTGGAACTCGTTTGCAAAGGCACGAATTGCAAATGTTTCCTTTCTTCAAGAATCTTCAAGATATCTCATTGAATTCTGGCATGCCGATTGCGCTTGGCAACCACGCACCGTATCGTGCTCAGAGTACCTAAACTGCAAAGCAACGCGCTCTGTTCATCGGTTTCAACCTTGAGAACAAAGTGATGTGGACAAATATATAGATACAAATCGCCGAACTGTGGACTTATTGCATCTTTGGGCACGTCCTGCTGTTGCTTCTGTCGCTGTACTGGACGAGCAGCTGGCCCAGTTCATTGAAAGTTATGTTCTGCCCAAAGGCCCCTTCTTTTCTGATAAAGGACACATAAGCCAACGCAAGGTGACTGCCCAACAAACACACAAACCAGCAAATTGCCAAGCCACGATAGCGTGCCCTCCAGGAAGCCAACTGGCAACCGTCCGACTCCAGATTTTGGAGCGAAAATGCGACATGCTTCAAACCCAGGCGCTCGCTATATAGCTTCTAGCGCTGCAGTCGGTGAAATGAATAAAGGCCAAATATGGGTGGGGCATGTTAACGCATGACGTTGATGCTATGTTGGGGACAGGGGTGGGGTTGGGTGGGGCATGTTAACGTTCGCTGGCACTTACGTCATGAAGTTGACGCTACGTTGGGGACGGGGGTGGGGTTGGGTGGGGCATGTCAACGTTGCGGCCACTTACGTCATGATGTTGATGCTACGTTGGGGATGGGGGTGGGGGTGGTGGCACTTACGTCATGAAGTTGATGCTACGTTGGGGATGGGGGTGGGGTTGAGGATGTCAGGTGCTAAGCGGCATAAGTTGTTGGCCCATGAGGCCATCCATCAAGACAAAGTCTACGCCAAGACTTTAAGGTCTGTTCCCAAACATTTGAGCAGTGTTGCAGGAACACAGTGCATTGACCGACACTGGCGGTCGGTCAAGGAGTTCATTGGGGCCACGTTTCCAAAAAGATTAAAGGTCTGCTTGGAACAAAAGTTCACCCAGGAATTCCCGACCTTGTGCGCCAGTGGCTGTACAGATCTTGGCATTGCTCTGAAACTCCTGCTTGTGTATACGAAGACTTGACGCACTTGTGGCAGCAAAGGTGATAAAATGAAGTAGTTTGTCCGGACATTTTGGGTCATCCTTCTTTCACATGAAAAGAAGAGTTCACTGTAAACACCTGGTGACGTCCAAGGGCAATCCTCATCCTGCTGTAGGAGGGCGCTAGCGCCTTAGTGCTGGTTCCCTGGGCCACTCAAGTGCTGCTATGAATGCAGTGTCCCTTGCGGCAGTCGCTATTGGGCCACAGGGCCTAGACCTTACGCCTTTTGCGCGCCAATACGAACACAACCTGTCATAATGATAAAACGCAGCGGCGTTCTATCAGCCGCCTACCATGTAGTTGGTAGGCTGTGCGTGGGCCTCCATCAAGACCGATCTCATCCCACGCAAACCTGTACGTGCTGCCGTCTTGCGCTCGTGCCCCCATAAGAGGAGGAAAGCTGGTCCGCGGGGGCATGCGCGCGGGTATGAGGAGCTAGAAAATTTTAGTACCGATGTTCTTGCGCCGAAAGCTAGTGAGCACTGTATAAGCACCAATGTATCTGTAGATACAGGTAAACGACCGATAACTACCAACAAGTCGCACCTGGTTTTCCTTGAGCCAAACGGTAGTAAAGTGAGACATGTATACGACATCCTAGCGTGAAACAACACCCCCCGCTGAACGAAAATGGGAGGAGTGAAGTTATGTACAGTGCATTAATTAAGGACCTACGAAGGTATCCGGTCCCCCGGTACGTGCGAAGCATCGGACCGGAACGTGCCTTGAGATGGAGAGGATGATTGACCTCAAGGACGGATGACATATTGCACTGTCATGTTTTGATGCTAGGGTTGAACATGTCTCAACTGATTCATGCATGAAAGTTCAAAGCAAGCTCACAAAGATAATCTCTTTTGCGCAGCGGAACTGGGAGTGCAATGCCAACCTTTTAGAAAGCAGGAACAAAGCCATCAAGGCACACGCTCCCGCGTGGCGACAAAGCACAACAAAAGATGTGCGCTCTTTGTTGCAAGGATTGAGAGCCAAGTTCATCGACCTGAACTCAAACGAATTAGCTGCTGGTTTCAGGCAACCGGTCCCCCGGTGCATCACAGAAACGGTCATCCAGGCAACCGCTCCCGCGGTGCGTTGAGGGAAAAACACAGTGCACAAAGACAGCCGAGTCACCCGTAGATTTTATTCTCTTCTCCACAGGCAACAGCTCCCGCTGTGCGTCGTGTTCACCACCTGCGCTGACTCCACCAGTCGTGTCCTCGCCAGTCACTGCCACGACCGCGATCATCTTGCCACCAGTTGCGGTTGGATGAGGACCACCAGGAAGACGATGAGGATGACTGCTGCCAATCATGGTATTGATCACTTCCGGCAGCTCCTCGCCAGCGTTGCTCTGATGTCTCGGCCTGAGTACGTGTTGCTCTGGCCAGACTTTCACCTGGACCTGGTGCGGCCTTGGTCTTGGGAATCACAAGTGCCCTTGTCTCTTTCACAAGGTTGATATCCAAGCCAGGTACAAATTGAGCATCGCCCATCACGAATTCCAGGAGTTCATCCAACACATCATCAGGGTCCGTCTTCTCACTTCGCCACTCTCCTCCAAATCCCAGGATTGCGGGTCGTTTTGCACCTTGGCAATAGTCCGCAGCGAAAGTCTCAGGACGGTGTAGCCTGTTCTTCCAATAAATGAAGAAGTCCTCGCTCAGGTCAGCATCATTCCCTTTTGCTGGTTCGTTCATGAAGATGACCTTGCCAGCGTATCGATGACCGATGCCACGAGCGATCATTTCCCTTGTCCTCGGAGGGTCAGGGATGATGGCATCTGACAGTCGTTCCAGGAATTGAATGCAGATTGGAGAGAGGTCCTGGGCTGCGCAGTTGAACGCGTAGAAAGCGTCAACCAGCTGTCGCTGCGATACCGTCATGGACATCTTGTCCGCCTTCTGGACATGGCTTTTGGCGTTCGCTTTCAAGATGTTGATGCCCGAACGAGAAGCACGTTGAACTTCATGGCCAGGCGTCCCCGCCGGCGTCCTCCTCACACCTGTTCCTTGCAGCCTGTCCTCAGGTACCATATCCATCGTGACTTCGATACCGAGATCTGCTGCAATTTCCTCGATCCGAATGAGCTGAGCAGCTTTACACAGATCCGAGGCATTGTTGAGGAAGGTGCCGCATGTGATGCAGGACATCATGCCATGGGTGTAGGTATTTGTGCACGTTGGGCACTGAGCTTCTGGCATCTGAATGCCCTCAACGACCATCCATCGAGTGTTGCCAAAACCCTCAGTCTCGGGGTGGATTTTGCGCCAATCAAACCGAGGTCGGTTGTAGTTGGGCAGCATCTCTTTGGGCGACACTTGGTTCCTGTAGGCGTTGAAATTGGGCCTGCGAACGACATACGTGACCTCGTATGTTTCCAAATCAGGATTTTGCTTTCCTGATATCATTTGGTCTTTCACGCCTGGGCGTTCAAACAGTTCACCGTACACGAATGGGGAAAAA